CATGCATTGATATCCGCGGCTGCTGCACGTGCTAGTCCACAGACAGAGAATGCGGTAAGATGGCGATGCATGTTTACAGTTTTTATTGCTTTTCTTTTCTTATTTTGTAGAAATTATTTTGAGAGGGTGAAAGAATTTGAATTAGACGGTGAATGATGATGTACAACATTGAAGCAAGGTACTCTCTTTTTGATGGGGGTTTAATGAGGTACTGGTATCTTGGGTTGTTCGATAGGAAACTGTGGTTAGCGGGGGTGGAGGGGCGTACTTGATCAGCGGTAATTCAGGAAGTACCGCTGTCACTGTGGAAGACGCTGCAGCTGCAGCTGCAAACATGACGCATGCAACTAGAGTTTCACAAGCAACAGTAAGCTGATATGTAATCCTGATTTGCAGGCTTAGCTGTATATACTAATTCGTTATAGCATGTTCTGCTGCTTCCTTAAAGACGCTTTCTCATATACTATTATATATTAATAACAAGGAAAGAAAATTTTCTCTTAATGTTTCTCTAGTACTTGTGAATGTTACATGTAGTTTAGCTAATATTGTATCTAGTATCCAGTATTATATTTAGTACTTCAGTTTAAAATCTTAAATAATTTTTCTGTAATTAGGTTCAGTGGTTGCTCGAGAATTATGAAACAGCAGATGGTGTCTCCCTTCCACGTTCCACCCTCTACAATCACTATCTACGGCACTGTTCAGATAACAAGTTAGACCCCGTAAACGCTGCAAGTTTTGGAAAATTGATACGGTCTGTCTTCTTGGGCTTGAGAACCAGACGATTGGGCACAAGGTAAAACATCCCGTTATTTGTCTGCCCATCTTTATAGTATGATATAACCATGACGATCTTTTACAGGGGAAATTCAAAGTACCATTACTATGGGATCCGTGTCAAGCCTAGTTCTCCTTTAGTCTTGTTAAACGAAGATGGAACACCCCGCCAGCAACAGAATACAAATTCCCAAGCGAAACGGTTCAAGTTCGTGAATCAAAAGCAGGAAAATACTTATGAGAATAATACACATTCGAACACGAATATCACATCGAATAATTCACCGCCACAGTACCATCAGTACCTTGGCGAGGCGAGTGGTGCCATTCCAGAGTTTCCTGAAATAATAGTGGGGCATGGGTCGTCCCTTCCTGAGGATTGCACTTTAGAGGACATCGACACGTTCCGTAGTATATACCGAGAACACTGTGAAGCTTTTTTAGACGCTGTTCTCAACTTCGAGTTTGCCACTGTAGAGAGCCTTTGGAGAGAATTTTGGCGTAGTCAGGACAATAATAATGGCGACGAATGCGAGGAAGAGAAATATTTATCAAAGTACGATTTTTACGTTAAATTTTGTTCAATAATTTCCAGATAAATTCTAATGTATATTGTGTGTACAGGACTAAGCTATATCAGATGTGTAAGTGTTCAGAAGTTCAAGATTTCATAAGAAAAGTCGATTATACGTTTTACCAGAACTTGGTAGAAGTATTAATGCCCAATGTACTGAGACCTATACCAAGTGAGTTGTATTGTTCACTCCCTTTTGCATTTTTCATATTATATTTATGATATACTAATTATAGTATAATTTTCAGGTTCACTAACACAGTCCATTAGAAATTTTGCAAAAGGGCTTGAGTCCTGGTTGACGTCAGCCATGGCTGACTGCCCTGAAGAAATGACTCAGATAAAGGTACTATAAAACGGTTGAAATGACGTTATCCTTTTTTTTATCTTAACAACTTTTTCGTTCCAGTTGACTGCTGTATCCGCGTTTGCTCAGACACTGAGGCGTTATACATCACTGAACCATCTTGCTCAAGCTGCACGTGCAGTGCTTCAAAATTCTGGTCAAATAAATCAAATGCTGGCCGATCTGAATCGCGTTGACTTCCACAACGTACAAGAGCAGGTACCTATCCCAGTACTTCTCATTTTAGCTGGACAAAATCTATGTATATGATTTTTACAGGCTTCATGGGTATGTCAATGTGACTATGAGATGGTCCAACGTCTGGAGACAGATTTTAAAGTGACATTGCAGCAACAGAATTCACTGGAAGACTGGGCAATTTTATTTGAGGAGAAACCAACGTTTGCAAAGGCTGCTCGTCAATTCTTGCTCAAGTGGTCCTTCTACAGGTAATTGTCATAAATCCAGGAAGTCTTCGAATCAATTTCTCATGGGTCTGATTATTGGTTCAACAGTTCCATGGTCATTCGCGATCTGACTTTAAGAAGTGCAGCAAGCTTTGGGTCCTTTCATCTTATTCGACTATTGTATGACGAGTACATGTTCTATTTGATCGAGCATCAAGTAGCAGTCGCCACTGGAACTACTCCGATAGCAGTGATGGGCGATGTGCGTATTTTTCATGAATGATACCAGATAAATGACATTAAGTGGCTAAGGGATTAACAGTTGGCTGTGTTTCCATTTCAGAAAAGTCAAAGTTGCTCTTTAATTAGCGCGTTTGGCGCCACTTCTAACGGAGGTAAATTGTTTTTTCCTGAAATCGTTCTTCTGTTGAACAACCTGGAAATTTTGTGAATCTTAGACATTTTTTTTACAGATACATCAAATGCCAGTCAACCAAAGCGTATGAAATTAAGCTAACTGCGTGCCTACGCCCTTTAGTTTTTTTTGGAAAAAATAAGCCAGTAGCACCTGAGAATGAAATGTTAGCACAAGAGCATGCAGGCCTACTAAAACCACACTAGTCCCATAAATTATAATTTTATATAAGATGAGATATCTTATTGTATTAACGACTTAACAAAGAAGATTTTTGCATAACTGAACGCCCAAGATGTATACAATCTAAGTAAGTTGTGTGATATAACGTGTAGGACATATGTACTGCAATCTTGTTTCATATACGAGGATATATGATTCAAGTGCAAGGTATCGCTGGCACGATGTTTTAGTATGTTTAAAAAAACTGTATCATCTAGTCGAAACATCATTGAAATATGTACGGGACCATGAACTTGTCATGCCCTTATAGTACTCAATATTAAAAGTTTACTCGACTATACTATATAAAATTTCTTTTGGTTTTTACAGTCTGGGGTGATTTATTTTAATGTAAACAAAAAATTGAACAATCACTCGATAATTTTTTAACACTTGAAATTTGTACCGCTTAATGTATTATTGAAAACAGTCAAGTGAGCTTGAAATAGCAAACATCAATTTGTGCAAATGAAAACGGTCGTAAAGACAACGTTTTTTCACAGAGAGAAAAATTTTTATTATCTTGCATCCATATCGACGGATTCTATTTTGCACAAATACTTGAGTGAACGTGTTTTACAAAATCCGCCCTGCCGACGGTATTGTCAAAAGAAATGAAAAATAATAACTATTCCTACTTGAGCAAATGCAAATTAGATTACAATAATACCATACAACCTATACGAGTTCTAGATATTTCCGACATTCATATTTTTTAATGCGATTTATTGACTATACATCGAGCTACGTAAAAAAAAGGTTCTGTTGGTGAGCCGTCTGTTACACTCTAATAATATATTCTTTCAGTATTTTTAAACGAATAGTACAAAAAACAGCGATGAAGGAAGTATGACGAACGTGTAATCGTTTTGATTTACTGATAGAATATACACTATGGTTCTTACATTAAATGTACATAATATCAATGGTGTGACAGATAGAGAACTGCACAGTTGTTGAAATTTAAATGAAGAAAATGACGAAATTTGCAAATTGTAACGGTGTAGTAGCTGTGAGTGTCTTCAAACGTGCTTTGCATTTATTAAATAATTTTAGTACATTTAAAAAATGAAGAAAATTTATATTGATATATGATTTGTATTTGTAGACACTCAAGTAACTTCTCTGTGTAGTAGAAGTATGTATGTATGTATGTATGTATGTATGTATGTATGTATGTATGTATGTATGTATGTATGTATGTATGTATGTATGTATGTATGTATGTATGTATGTATGCATGCATGTATGTATGTATGCATGTATGTATTATTTTACAAAGGTATGTCGAAATATGTAAGCTGTTGCAAATGTTGAAGGCATACATAATATTTTTTTATGTACGGTGTTCAAATACTACTGTTTTCACGAGATATTTAGTAATTTATTATTATGTTTAAATTTAATTGTATATTTCATAGCCACTTCTTCAATATGGGAAATTGGCTGAATTAATGCGGATTATGCAAACCAAAAGACTTATATTTTAATTTACTACGTTCTTTTCCATAAGCATTTTAGTGTGAAAGGGAGTATAATTTGTTGCATACTGTAGGTTCATTAAAACTTTGTATACTTGCTCCATACAGTACATCTACCATTATTTTTTCTTTGGTATTTCTACATTATTTGTTTTACATGCTTGGTAGCATGAACCAACATATATGCATACTATCATATCCTTCTGAACAAGTACAAAGTTTCAATGAAATTGATAAGTACTGCTTTATATATTTTTCCAATAACTTATTGATGTCAGAATTTTTATTTGTAAAAAAAAAGTTTATTCATGAGATCTACATTTCAGTAAACATGCATCACGTTAAAACTTTAAATTTGAAAAAATGCAGCATGTGTGTATAAAGTTGATGCTTGCACTTATCACAGTGACCATTGAATATATCAAAATTGTTGAGGATTACGTAAAAGTTTGTTCAGGTATTGGATGTTGCAAATGTATTTTCTTTTGCAACGCACCGCTATATAGATTGTTTATTAACAAAGCTTTGTGAATACATACTATGTAATTTACAAGAAATTGAAGATTAATACATAAGAACATACGAATTGCCTGATTTTACAAGGAAAATTCTCATGATGTAGGAAACGAGTAAATGCATAAATGTTTGAATCCATTATAGGATGGTTACTCAATTATTCAATGCTGAATTGAAAGATAGAAACTCCTATGAACAAACTAAATGTTTGGCAAAACTTGGTGCCTTTTATTTCATACAAGAAAGAAACGAACATTTTTTTACTGTACCTTGATTATACAAAGAATCGAGGCCAAACGACCAAAATGAATGAAACAAATAGCTATGCTCTTCCTTTAGGGCTTCTTTTATAGTATTTTACTTTAAGGAAAGTGCATTATGATGTTTTTTCAAAGTGATGCAGTACGTTAAAAGGATTAAAATGAAAACGTTTGGAAGAAACTGTATGCACTTTGTAAGGATATTGTATCAAATGAGAAGAAAAGCATTGCGTTTTTTAAATTTACTTAAGAGGTTCTTTTTACATGAAAATTTCTTCCAAAATAAAATTTCACTTTGCAGAGGGTCATTAAAAGTATTGCATACTAGTCAAACTTCTTAGATTTAAGTGAGAAACAGGGATTGAGTATCACACAGTAAATTGACCATTGGTTGTGCATCTATTATTTGTGCAAAAAGAATAGAATATTTCCATAACTATAATGAGCTTATACATGTAAAAAAACTACTGATATGTGTACTTAGCGTAAGAATGGCTTTCTAAGAAATTTCTATGTTTCTTTTCTTGTGTATGACATGTATGGTTGAATATAAAAATGTGTACTTGATCAAGTTCAGTTATAAAATGAAACATTTCAAAATCAAAATCAAGCAGAGATGTCCTATTATACATAGAATAGATGAAATGATTCAATTGAATGCTCTTGCACAGTTCTATATTCATCCAGTACTTGTTTTGTAATTCGTACTTTTAGGTAGGATCGCTGTTTGTAAGTTTCACATAATTATCACAAGGTACAAGCAATTGTAGTCTTGTTGTTGATGATAAAAGATCAAACTTACCATGGTTTCCTATGTTGCGAAAGAAGACGGCCTTAAATATTTCCAATTGTAAGACAGAAAAAAAGATTTACTATGTTGTTAAGGGTGGGCACTGAGAACAAACGAAAAAGAAAGAAAAAAAAAAGAAAATTAAGAGATACGTAAAAGAGGAGAAAAAGTAAAAAGTATCGTTTTCCTTATAACTTAAAGAAAATATTTTGATACCTCCAGATTTGCACAAGTCGAGTGTCATTCATTACTGCTTAAATAAGATTATTTTTACTGAATGCAGCTCAAAACGATAACAACTTATATGTATAAAATTATGAGAGATGTAAGAAACTCTAAACTGTGTGAATGTGCGGATCACAAAAAAAG